GAATGTGACTTTTAAGCCAACAAAGTAGTTTGTATAAATCATTATCATCTCTTGATTGCCGAGCATCTCTGAAGCTCAACATGTTGTTCTGTAGTTCCAGAGTTTATATGACACAACTTTTCAAAGCATTCATGACAACAGAACAGGCTGGACATGCTAGGACAAATTTTGCCAAGTTACTGTCAGTGACGCCTCTTCCATGGATAAGTCCACCTGATACTTTCAAAGAACGCATGAGCTCCTGCTCCAGTTTCCACCCCAGAACCTTTCTGTCCTACGAACCGAAAAGAAACCTTTTCTGATTGTACTTAAAAATGTAATAGTAAAACTTTTTAATATTACTGTATCCTGTATATTATTTATTGAATACCATGCTTATGTTATGTTTTTACACCATTGTCCACGTTTATTCTGGAGTTTATTTATACTATTCCCAGCTTAAATATACATTTTAAGGGAAAAAATAGAGTGTAGTGTCGACGAAAACCATTGATAAAGTAAATCTACGACAGTGCAACTTTGTATGAAAATACCTCCGCCGCAGCAAACCTGCAGACTAAGTGAATTTCCATTTGCCCGATTGGATTTTTTATTAAATATATTGAAATAACATTATGCTTAACTAGTACCTTACAAAAACACTTCATTATACTAAAATATTTGATCATTTAAGCTTTTTTAAATGGTTCAGAGAGAAATTAGAAATTTTTGTGTTTTGAGGATCAAAAATGATAAAATTAAATTTTTACCCCATAAAACCCAATTTTTACCTCATAAAACCCCCCGTAAACACCCGTTCCCATGGTCTGATTATGCTGATTTTGCAACTCATTTACGTTTACACCACCTTTCACCTTCAAGCCAAATTTTATCAAAATCCGACCAAAATTACTCAAGTTATCGCGTTCAATGTGCGTTTAAATAAGTTGCGCCCCCTCCCCCCCCTTTTTTCTTTATACCAGAAGAAGCAAACAGGGGACGGTAGGGGACTTTTAGGATATGGTCAAGGATATCATAAAGAACATCTGTGCCAAAATTCAGCTTTATATCTCGCATTTCCGGGTTTGCATGATTTTTTACCTAGATTGACTGGGCTATTATACTTTTCCTACAGTTACCATAAAACAAATAAATTGGTGAATAAACATAACCTATTTTTACACAGAAGTGAACTTTTAATATAAAATTTAACGTGAAATGACAAATACAACAGTACAACAGCTGACCAGCTGATTTACAGCCAGTGCTGCCAACGTATTTCGCGCGCATACGACGTTGCCTGCATGATACGCGCTCACTATTTCGTGCCTTCACGTTGCAAATGGAGTGAGACAAAGTAATTAGAGTGAGACAATGTTAACATTGTCTCACTGATGAGCGAATTGGCCACTTTGCTTTCTCAAATTAGTGAGAGAACATGTACATTGTTAGGTTAACTGTAGGAAAAAGTAGCATTTTTACTCTTTAGGGAGTAAAAATCGTTTTTAGCCTCTATGGAGTAAACATCAGCTGTTGTCAACTCAGTTGGAAATTTCGATTGTAAACAATTGAATGTATCGAAAATATGTATCGATTCGTGCTTCGTAATCATTTTAACCTACAGTCTACAGTCTCTTCCCATAGCATTTTAGCATTTCAGATACTCCATTCCCACACTCAACACTGCTCACCATTACTACTTCCTTCACCACCCCCTCGTAGACCTGTTTCCCTCTCTTCCCATATCGGTTTAGGTTTGCAGATACGTTAATGTATTTGCTAAAGACAGTTCCCACACTCTGCACTGCTAGCCTTACTACTTCCTTCACCATTTCCTACGTCCACGTCATATACCTGTTTCCTTCCCTTCTCATAGCATTTTAGGATTGAACATACATTAATCTAACTGCCACAGACGGTTCTCTCACTATGCTCATACTTTACTACTTCCTATGCCACTTCCTATGTCGTGGTGTCGTGGACCTGTTTTCATCACTTTCCATATCATTTTACTTTTTAGATTTATTTTATTTTAGATACGTTAATCTAATTGCCACAAAAATTCCCCACGATAATGACGTTTTTTTTTTAGCGAGAGATATCTCTAGGATTTAGCCGCGATTACGGATATATGATTTACCCGTCACCACCGACGGGTCGCGGGGAGATATTAGGCCGTGATATTAGATTGAGCCGTGAACGTGGGAGACGATGATGCTGCTATCTAATGATGTCATAGGTTTGGTTGCATTTGCAATCACGGTAAACTATGATAATGTTTCTTCCATGACTTATGACTACGGGAAGTATTTACGATTTTGCGGATCATGGAAGACGATAATGACGCCCCGGGAGATACCTTTTCAAGTTTATTGCAAAATTGCAAGTTTAGGCGGTAATACATAGAAAAATGTTTTTAAAGATCATTGGGAGAGGGGGCCCGGCGAACAACCTTGCGGGGGGGGCCCGCGGGTTCTTATCGCCGCCACTGCTTGTTTGTATCATGTATTTACTACGAACAGCTGTAATTATTACAAATTATTTGTTGTTAAAATTTAGGGCATTTCACTATTTTTCACGCCGTCACAGGATCGAGACCTTTAATTTGAGCCCTCTCCCGTCGTTCTACGACTTCCCAGTCGCCCACAATTTTGACGCAAAGAATCGGCTTACGTAATTAATATATAGATAGATAGATAATCTTTTCTTCATAAGAAATACCTTGGGATTTTGTTGGCCTGTGGGGCAAAGCCCGAGGACTTTTATTACAGGAATTGGTGAAAGGGGGCATCTACACAAAAAATACTTAGTTTTGACACATCGTTTTCCTCCATTATGGAGGAGTAGTGTCTCATAGAAATCGCCTTCACGTATTATAAGGATATTTTGTTAAAACTTGGGAAAATTCATTTATTTTTAACTAAGCTATTAATATTTTACTAAACAAATACACTTTCTTAGTTTCCTTTTATCAGCAAAAGGTAGCATACTCGTTAAACCTAATGTTATTTAAATAGATTCATTGAAAATAAATTCAGACAAATGGAAATTCGCTTAGTCGGCAGATTTGCTGCGGCGGGGGTATTTTAGCTTAGTCTATCAGCTGATCAGCCTGTCAGCTGTTGTTTAAAAGTTAAAGTGAGGTGGAGGGGATGGAATCGCTTCCCCTCAAACCCCCAAAATGTTGTGAAGGAGTATAGTTCATAACACAGGCAAAAAGTATCTTCTCGAACATCGCTGGTTTTCCATTCTCATTTAGTTAAACTTTCAAAAAGAGTTATTTTACGCCCTTGAGATGAAACGTACTATTTTTTACAAAGATTAGGAAATAAAACAATTTTAGACTCCAACTTAACTCTTTTAATAATCAAATTATTAATCTACATTGCACAGGTTTACATACATACAACTTAATACTATTCATTTTTACAATATTTACAATATGTTCAATAAATAACAACTTGTTTAAAGATAACAAAAGACCAACAATGTAATATTTATTTGTCAAAATTATTTTGTAAAATGTGTAATCTATAAAGGTAAAGAATTTATAATTTGATTAAAATCATACATAACTTAAAAAAGCTTCCCTTAACTTAATTGGAAGGTATATTTGAAGATAAATCAATAATAAATTAACCACAGTTTAAACCTGATGAATGGACACACACTATGTATACAAATAAAAAAAAATATGGTCATATAATATATAGCTCCCAGTTAATCTAGATAAATTTAATACCTACAAGAGCTTTAAATTGATACCCAATATGCATATAAAAATAAATATTCAGTGTACGATTTGCTACACACAAAAATCCAACCAATTCTTTTAATAATAGAGATAAGCCAAGATAAAAATTTTAATGTGTATGAATTTCTAAGTAAATGCCTTGATGCTTGGGTAGATTTTTTTAAAATTGTATCTTGTTTCGAAGAGAAAATATAAAAAGCAGTAAGGAAAGCAGTAAGGATATTTGTTATTTACGTCATCAAATTAACAGACCAAACACATTTTTAAGGGATTTGGAAAGCTAAATTAAACATGAATTGTATCCAGTACATTTTCTTCAACACACAAAATGAAACAAATTCTAATTACATGAAAACATGCTTAATAGGTATACTAGCATTGCTCTTAAGGGATTTTAAAATCTTTCTGGATTCACTGGAATCGCTGAAATCTACTGTTGAAAAAATTCCTTCAGGCTACATACTTTTTATAACCTAAATAAAAATAAAAATACCCCCGCTGCAGCAAACCTGCCGTCTAAGCGAATTTCCATTTGGCCGAATTGATTTTCAATTGATCTATTTAAATAACATAAAGGTTTAACGAGTACCTAGGTTTGCTGCTACAAGGAAACTAATAAAGTAGTGTGTTTTTAGTAAAATATTTATAGCTTACTATAAAATAAATAAATTTGCCAAGTTTGATCAAAATATATCCATAAACAAGCAAACTACAACATTTTACAATATTCTCCATAAGAATAACATGGGAATTTTAAATTTACCATTTTTTTAGTTTTCTCCGTAACCAATAACCGTACAAAAACACTTTGATATACTGAATTGTTTGTTTTTTTAAGCTCTTTAAGAAGGTTTAGAGAAAAATTGGGAAATTTTGTGTTTTGAGGGTAAGAAGTGAGAAAAACCAATTTTTACCCCATAAAACCCCCCATAAAACCCTGTTCCCATGGTCCGATCATGCTGGATCGCGAACTCATTCAAGTCTATCCCGCCTTACACTTTCAAACCAAATTTCATCAAAATCGGATAAAAATTACTCAAGTTATCGTGTTCACGGACACATATATATATATATAAATCTATATATATATCTATATATATATATATATATATATATATATACATATATAAAAATTTGAACGAATGGTGTTTTTGGCCTCTGGGGACATTAAAATGAAAAAGTAAATCGGTCCCGGGCCTAAGTCTTACCATGAGACCTACGGTAATAGCTACTTCCCTATAGGGAAATTCGCTAATAACAACCATATGTTTTACCTTAATTGAAAACAAAGCATATCGACTTGTCAATGCTATTTAACCCTTTGGGTGCCAGAGATTTATTTTGGTACTTTCCGAAAAGTGCCAAAGTTTTTTTTACTAGGTATATCTGAAAAGTGCCAGGCTTGCCGCGGGGGCGAAGCGTAGTGCGCAAGAATAAAAATCGGTAAAAGTATAAATTTTCATCCCAAAAGTGCAATGGAACGATATATCGTGCCTCGATCGTATGAGAAACCGATTGAAATCATCGTTGTTTTATAATAACAACCAATTCAACCGACATGCTCATTAAAACTCACATGATCAAAAGTTGCGCCGGCCCGATATATTGTTGCAATGTTTTCGGTATTTTTCGGTATATATTTTTTGGTAAGACTACCGACGACAATATATCGTTGTGAAGTATTTTTCAGAAGTGTTGTGCAAAACGATATATCGTTACGTGGCACTTGAAGGGTTAACAATGTTTAATTTCTCATGTCTCCTAAGGTTTAGTAAATCTCAACACCTTCTAATTGACTGCTGAACATTTCAATGACAAATAAAAAAAAATGCATAGGTATTATATTATTTTGTGACCTTGACAATTGTTAAACAAAGCAATTTGACTTCTCGCAATGCTTTTTAACAACAATTTTTCATGCCTCCCAAAAAAAAAAAAAAATCTGAAGACATTGCAAGTTTATGTCCAGGAGGTTATGAAGGAGAGTGCTTGAAGGACGGGGGCAGGTCGTTTTCGGGATCCCCCGTCCTTGCGTCTTCTCATACCCCCTCTCCTCGCAAGGTACACATGAGCATGGAGTCTTGAGACAACTCATCCAGAGACGAAGGTTCAGACACTGGAACACAAAAGATAATTGTTAGTTTTGTCACAACATTTCACAATCATCAAAACAACATCTTGGCAAAGCATTATTGAACTAATCAGGTAAGGTTATGAATATTAGCGAATTTCCCTATAGGGAAGTAGCTATTACCGCAGGTGGCACGGTAAGACCTAGGCACGGGACCTTTCCATTTCACTTTTCGTTTTGACTTTTCATTTTGACTGGGACTTTTTCATTTTGATGTCCCCAGGGACCAAAAACACCATTTGTTCAAATTTTTAAACTTGAATGAGTTCGCAAACCAGCATGATCGGACCATGGGAACGGGGTTTTATGGGGTAAAATTTGCCAGCTTGGTGTGGCATCTGCAGGAATAAATATAAACTATATTGTGTTAGTGATAAGAAGATAACTTAACAAAAGGACTCCTGAAGATTCACACAAGCTGGCAAAATGCATGGTGCGAGACAAACATCTTCTACTCAAGAACTATACAGGCTACAACAACAAAGGTAATCTAACATAATTCAAGTTCTTGAAACTGGGATGGCAACAACAAATATTCTAAAAAGTCGTAATTGACACTTGTTTTATGTTTTCTTTAACAAAAGGGGGGAAAAAGAAAAAAAGATAGCTACTTACTTGGAAGGTGAGATGAGTAGATGTGCGATACTTTAGACTGTTGCTGCAGTGAGTACGTGAGGTGTAGATTGATATGTCGACCAAACTGACCAGGCTCTAGCTCTCTGCCTCCACCCATCCCAGCTCCATGACCTGTCACAACATGTCACTGTACCATTAGTTTAGAGAAAACAAGAGCTCAGAGGCAGTGGTCTAGTGTGGAACGCTCAGCATTGTCTCAAAAGAAAAAAAACCGATTGAAATAAATGATTTTGGAAGAAGCAGAGTAGGAACACAGTTCCTACACATCCCCGCCCCACACTGCCAGGGGGAGAGTATTGGACTGAATAAGACGCAACCAGAAGTTGCTGGATTGAGCGCACAATATCTTATCTCCAGTGGCTTAGTGTTGCAGGAACGCTGCAGGAACGGTACTCCCACTGTTTTTTCCAAAATTCCTCTATGTATGTAGATGACCTGGATTTTTTTTAGACGATGATGAGGGTTTCCGTACCGTACGGGAAAATTTATGACTACATTTTGCTTATCTCTGAGGTCACTACTGGACATATATCTCTTATACTTCTCTGTCATTAGATTGCAAAGATTGGTGGTCTGTGATAAAAGGTAGTGAAGGTTGCAAGTAGCGGTTCTTATAGTAGTATATTTCTGTAAAGAACAACCCTTAAATCCTCTTTACAGAAAGATAATCCTAAGCCTTCACACTAAAATGTCTGTGTGAACCTTACCTAAGATATTTTTTGAGAAAAGAAATTATCAAGATGAAGTAGGCTTCTTTTAAGATATTTATTTCTAGTTAAAATAAAACTTACAGTGAGATGACTTCATCTTGCCGGTGTTCAGATGTTTCTTCTGTCGCGCCCGAGAGTTCTGGAACCAAACCTGGGTGACTCGCTTGCTGAGGCCGGTGATCTGTGCTATGCGCTCCAGATCCTGACCATCTGGGTTGGAGTCTAACTGGAAGTTGGCTTGAAGCACCTACAACATCGACATTGACCAATCAGACATAGGGTCAGGGCCGTCCGAAGGGGGGGGGGGGGGCACCGGGGCAAGCTACCCCGGGCGCCGCAGCTAAGGGGGCGCTGCGGCGCGGCTATTTGTATTAACATAGTATTAAAAATATGCGAATGCAACTATTACTGGAGGGGAGAGGGGGCGCCACAACCACGTTTGCTACAGGCGCCGCCAACCCGAGGGACGGCCCTGCATAGGGTCAATCATAGGACTCGGATGTAGTAGTAAAAGAGTAGTTACCAAATAGTCGTTAATTTTTAAAGCTAGAGACTAAATGAGGCGATCTTTGTGCTTGATATTGTAAAAAGAACTCACCCACTAAACCATCTTAACTGGCACCTATTTGATCCAAAAGCCAGCCGTGTATCCTAGCTATTTGATACACGGGCGAGAAGGATTGCAAGGAATTTTATTTTTAAAATTTTTTTTAAATTGTTCCTGTTACCAATATAACCGTACAAAACACTTTGACATACCAAATTATTTGTTTTTAAGCGCTATACGTATACATAATATGTGTACGTTTCTCCCGACTTCACCTTGACGGAGTTCAGGTTTACGTTGTTTATTTCCTACCCACAATTTGAAAATCGTTTACATATGCTACTCACATTGGAGTGTAGGTTTATATTTTTTGTTTAGTCATATTTAATTATGATAGGTAATACCTGCAGCTGCTCTTCTGTGAAGGTTGTTCGCACTCGCTTGGCTTTGCTCTTGCTGTGATAGCTCTCCGAGTCTCCACCTTCTGGACATATCAAGACATAAACAATGTGAACAATACAGAGTCGGATGTCAAATAAAAATGCACATACTGTACTTGACTTAAAAGCTGACAAAAACAATGTCAAACAGGTACAACTACAGTACGAAAATTAAACATTTTGGGATTTGTTAGAGCCAATATTTTTTTAAGGTTCACCAAAGCAATGGTCAGGCCCGTGAGTTAGGATGCGCTATATGCCCAAGAGATAATAGTGCCCCTCTCGGCCAAACTTGTCAGTCACAGGGAATTTTTCTCTTCCGTTTGTGCCCCCAACTAAAGCATTGGACATTTATTAAAAGTGGTCCTAGCAATGGTAGTGATTTATTAGAAGAGGGTTGGGAAAACTAGCAGTTGGGTTAATAATAAACATTATACTGTACATATTAATTTATCGATATATCTATCCCTTGAAAAAAAGGGGACAGCTGTCCTCTTATCATCACAAATGCACCAAAGTGATCCCAATGAGCACATAGGTGACCTATTATAGAATATTTATGATAACTTAATAAAAGGCACGACTGTAAGTAAGAAAATCTCATATACAAAAATACAAGAAGCACAACACATTTTGTCCATGATAATTTGTTCAGTATTTTTTTGTTTAACTTCCCTTCATTACAGTAAAGTTTTTAATAGATTATAGATTTCAAAATGGTGTATATTCAAGGTTGAATAAAACTGAAAGTTTTGACTATATTTTATACCAGCATTGAATTAAAAATTACTAGCAATCAATCAATCAATCAATCAATCAATCAATCAATCAAAATATCTTTATTTCATAATATGCAAACATATAGTTACATGAAATAGAGTCATGGGAACTAAAACTAAGTGAGATGGTTATTCAAAAAATACATAAGGTTAAATTGTACGGTATTCTAAATTATTAAGAGAGAGTCAAAATCAAAAGAGTCAAGAACAAAACTCCCCGATAGAAAAGAAAGCTGATTGGATTAGAAATGCTTTTGCCAAATTTAAAAATCTGTTTGTATTATTTATTTCTTTTTTGATATTTTGTGGCAAAAGATCAAAATATTTGTTTCCTTTATAGGTGATTTTTTTTTTTAAAGCTCTAATTTATGATGTTCAACCAATCGATGGGGTCTTGTATTATAGCTATGGACAGTATTACCAAATGTTAGTTTATTGTTAGATACTACAAATTTTATTGTTTCAAAAATAAAGAGGCTGTAAACTGTAAATATTTTCAATTTGGAAAAATCATTTTTAACTACATCAGATTTTTTTTTTAGATTCAAAATTACCGTTAATGCCCTTTTCTGTTGGAGTAATATTCTATCCATGTTTAATTTAGAGGTTGACCCATAGATGCAGATACCATAAGACACATATGAATGGATTAAGGCAAAATATATTGTTTTTAAAGTTTCAATATTGCAAGAGGTTGCCATTTTCCGAAGAGCATACAAACCACTTGTTGTTTTTTTAACTACAAGATTTACATGGTTGTTCCACGTTATAGGTTTTCATCAATAACTAATCCCAAAAAAGTTGTTTTCTCTAATTGATCTATTAAGTTTTCTTCAATGAATATTGTGGGATTTAATTTTTGCTTAGTCTGTTTGGTTGTAAATGTTACAAAATTAGATTTTTGTGAATTCAGCAGAAGGTTTTTACTATCAAAAAAGTCTTTAATCATTGATAAGTTAATATGAGATGCAATTTCTAGGTTTTCTTTACTATTGGCAGTTACAATCATGTTAGTGTCATCGGCATAGAGACAAATTTTATTGTTCTTGTCCCATATCACCCCTGGTAGACCCTTCAGGTAACAGAGGAATAACAAGGGACCTAGAATTGATCCCCGGGGGACTCCATATTGTATGTTTAGCAAGCTCGAACTATATGTCTCCTTATATATAGGTTTTGAATTATTAAAATAATGACTTATTTCTACAAACTGTTTCCTATCTGAAATGTAAGATTTAAACCATGCCAATTCTGTACCTTTAACTCCAAGAGAGCTTAGTGTATTTATGAGAGTACTGTGGTCTACAGTGTCAAAGGCTCTAGACAGGTCCAAAAAGATACCAATGACTTTTTCACCTTTATCAATCGAATTTATGATTGACTCAACAAATTCCACACCTGCTGTTATGGTGGACTTCTTTCGTCTGAAACCATGCTGCTGCTCATCTAAGAGGCAATTTATTTCAAGGTAATCTAAAAGTTGGTTGTACACTATCTTCTCTAAAATTTTTGAAAATACAGGAAGCAATGATACAGGCCTATAGCATCTGACATCCTCGGGGTCCCCCTTTTTAAAAATGGGGATTACTTTTGCCACTTTAAACTGGTCTGGAAAAATACCTGACATTAATGAATGATTAATAATATGAGTCAAAGGAATGGATATGAATTGCCATGATGCCTTAACTATTGTGATAGGAATATCATCATTCCCGGTGGAAAGCTTATTTTGCAGTGATGATAATATTTTACCTACATCATTTTCTGTTACTGTTTTAAATTTAAATGTGATTTTGGAAAACACATTGGTCGGATTGCAAGTGGTTGTTAAGTGATTTGATTTTATGTTGGTTATAATTAATTCTTTAACAGCATTCACAAAGAAGTTATTAAATGTTTCACAAATCATAATATCTGGTTCTGTAATATATTTATTTTGATAAAATATTTTAAGGTTTTTATTTATCTTAGAAGGTTTGCATGTTTCTGCATTTACCAGATTCCAAGTAGTTTTAATTTTATTTTTTGAGCTCAAGACTTTTCTCTCAAAATATCTCTTTTTATTGTTTATAATCTGATGTTTGAGATCCTTTTTCTTATTTTTGATTACTAATTTTAAATTTATATCTTTATGTGTTCTAAACTGTGCTTCTAACTTAACAATTTCAGATTGCTTTGTTCTCAACACTTCATCAATCCATTGATTAGCTTTATATTGTTTTTCAGTAACATATTGCTTTGGAAAGTGAACATCAAAATAGTATTTAAAAATATTATAAAAACTATAAAACTTAGTAAAGACAGTAGATTGGAAAACAGCAGACCAAGACTCAGAACTTAAACTTTTACAAAAAGGTGGATAACTGACCTAAACAAGCAAAATTTGGATTGGTCTAAACGGTGTAATCGTAATCTGCATAATAGTAAAATATGTATATGATTTAATTGCAAATCTTACATTGGTTTATTTTCAGTTGCGACTTTTTAAAACAAAAATTAAACAAAGGTGATAAAACCATTTAGAAATCAGAATTTTATTTAATTGCCTTACAAGCTATTGTTTAAATTCAACTATTTCACAAGATTAAAGTGATAATCTTATGAAATATGATAAAGAGTCTTCATTGTACACTCTATGTATAGATTATAGATTGCTATCATTGACTATATATACCCTCCTGTAGGTATATATAGTCAATGATTATCGTAAGTGCTGCCACCTACGAGACGGCTAACCAACCAACAAACATCGATCCACATTGGTAGGTGCTGCCACGCTGTCGCTGCGGCCAACTCTCGAACTACAAACGATATTCTACTTCAACCCAAGCTCCGCCTGTATTTGCATTTTGCTGTATTAGCATTTTGAATCCCGACCACCATCGCTGTTTGTGTTGTCGCAAATAAAATAGTGATACAGTATTAAAATAACATTATTTGCAAACGATTTAATCTGATAACAAATTGTCAAATGAGAGATCAACACAATAAGTATTTATTTGTATATCTCATTATATTTTAAATACTCTATTTTCAGCTTTCAGCGTTCTATATTTCACAGTCTAAATAATATGTTCAATATATTAAAATACCCCCGGCGCAGCAAACCTGCAGACTAAGCGAATTTACATTTTCCTGATTAGATTTACACTAAATATCACAATTATTCACTATATAAATAGCATCAGTTTGCATTTAGTCAACAAGTAGGCCTACTGTACTTAAAATTACACAGGCCTACATACACACACATCAAGTAAGATACCCAACCTACCACCATCAACATCAACAATACATAAATAAAAACACAATAAAAAATAAAAATAGCGGTATTTTTGGGTGATTTTTATTGTTGTAGGTTTGCTGCAACAGGGAGGGTAAAGATGTTTTTTATGTTAATAGTTTAGTATGAAATAAATGCATTTTCCAAATTTAATCAAAATATGTTTACAAACAAGCAAACTACAACAGTTTACTTATTCTCCATAAGAATAACATGGGAATTTTATATTTACAATTAATTTCTTGTAATTTTCTCCGTAACCATTACGCGCAAAACAACGCTTCAGTATACAAAATTATTTGTTTTTAAGTTCTACAATATGGTTTGGAAAGAATTTGCTAGATTATTTGTTTTTAGGGTCAAATTTTTACAGATTTTTATTTTTGCGCACCACGCTTTTTCGCCCCCGCGGCAAGCCTGGCACTTTTCGGACGTACCTAGTAAAAAACTCTAGCACTTTTCTGAAAATACCAAAACAAATTTCTGGCACACAAAGGTTAAAAGGATTTGAAAGATATTGCTGACTGTGACTAAAAACTAGAGTAGAGGTTGAAGAGGGTAACATCCTGAATAGTTTGTGAACTTGAAAATATACAAACTTGTAATTTTTGGGGTGAAGTTGAAAGAGACACGTCGGAATTTTTGCAAGATATTACATAACATAACTTTTGTGGTTCAAACTTTCTTCTGGACACGGCATAAATAAGGTAGAGACTGGATATAGTACAATTTCCTAGTTTGTAAAGTTTGTACAATTGATTAGTTGATTAGTTAAGTGTAAATTGAAAAGTACAATTCCAAAAATTACAATTTTGCAAATACTCCGGTTAATCGCGTCGATCTTACACTTTCACAACAAAAGTTGTATGTAAATTTTCAAGTTTACAAACGCTCTAGAACATTGTAGCCTACCATCTTCTTGTTGTATCGCGGTCAGAAGTAACATTCAAGTCCGACCCTAAGGTCACGTAGTAGGGCTGGGCTAAACAAGCGGAACTTCGCTGCAATTAGACTCCCGACGTGTTTACCGGGTGTGAAATCGGGAGCAAACCCAATTGTACCCCCCCCCCCCACACCCGCATCTACATTGCAGATAGTACTCCATCCCCCAACACCCCGCCCCACGCTGGGCCTTTGACAATCACGCGTCGACCGCCGGGATTATTTCGAGTACTCGAAAATTCCCCCGACTCGAGTTACAATTGTTTCAATTGGTGATTTTCGTTGAATGACGGTGGTTATGTGCGATTATCTTGAGGGCGGTGGAGTGAGAGAAATCAGTGGGGATGAGTTTGTGGATTGTGAAAATGTGTTCATTTTGTGAGACATTGTAGTTTCTTTGACTATTAACTATCACATTACCGTGTCAAAGTTGTATTTAGCAAGTTTTAGATAATTTGCGTCGTTGTCCCCAACATAATTATACTGTGAATGTTATTTGTCACAACTGACGTTCAAAAATGCCTTGCTGTAACTGTCAGTGATACTCCCTGTGTGTACTATGTACAATCTTTGAATATGGGGAGTTGCGACATTTTATTCCAAATTTGTCGCCACCAGTTTTAGAATCAAAATGGACATAGTTGTGATGCGCCAACGATACTGAATTGGTGGATGGAATTTGTGAATTGGCGGCACTGAGAACTGATGTCGGTTACCGACTTCTGCCGAAAACACTGACTTTTTGATCACCCAAACCAAACAGAACTACTTTTTGAAAACTATAGTATTCTAATTTCACGTTTAACTATTATGGTACGCTAAGGGAGGGAATAGAATGTCGTAGATCAACCTATGAGTGCATTATTCAACTAAGGGTTTCAATTAAAAATACAGTAATTATCGATCCACAGATGGGTTTACTCAATTATACCGTTACTAGAGGTTGTCCAGTGGCCGAAAACTAGACCAGAAAAATAAGCTATGTACAGACTTCTCTATTTTTACCCCTCGCTGTAAATAAAACATATGATTGGATTTTTGTATTATCTGTTTATATTTCGTTGTTATTTCATCACCAGTATGGCAACCCATAAGGACCATGTTTTTTTTTAAATTTTAAATTAATTTGTGGTGTTTATTTTTTAGCCTATTAATCCAAATCCAACATACAGTATTTGATTAGTGGCCGTCTACTTGCGTTGGTTAAACACACAAATATTAGAACAGGATTGTGGATAAACCGTCTCCTAGGCCACGAGCATATTTGAAATATTGAAGATGCGCCAGCTGTTTGATTTACTTTATTTATATTTTGTTTATTTACTTTTTGTCTATAGTAACCTATTAAACACGATGTTTTATCTATGCTTTTAATTCATTACGATAAAGTTATTAGTTTTAATTCAGCCACACAAATTTGCAATTACAGGAGGAGAAACTTTCATTGAAATAAGCAATAAGTCCGATTGAAATTTGCCTGTATAATTTGCATGGTAAGTAGCCTATGTGTAGCTGCTTTTATCGTAGATTTTTAGAGAGCCTCATCCGCTCTCAATATTTAAAATATTCGCAAAGCGACACAGTTAAACTATTGATAATAATGTGGCTATCTTAATCTCTTACTTAATTTAGATTAAGTATTATTGCCCCGTTGCGAAGCACGGACTGAACAACTAGTACACTATAAAGAGTGGTTTACCTACCTCAATCAGGTTACGGTAAAAAAATGCCTAAAAATAAATTAAACGCGAGGGAGGCGAAGCCCTAAAGGAATTACGGAATTAATTAATTTATAATTATTTAGAAATCGGTTATAGGCGTAGGAAAGGCGAAAAAAGGATTTTACAGTGAAACCCCTTATTGCAATGAGTTATTTGTGTAACTAGTGTTGCAAACCTATTTCCAAGCGTACACAGATTACGTGCCTAATAAACACACGCTGTGTATTTGGTTGGAATACTAGTTTGTGGCAAAAAAAGAGTTCTGCAAAAGTAAAAAGAGTGCGGCAAAGTAAGTAAATGCAGCAACTAGCAACTTTCTGTACTATAATCAGTGTAAGGAAGCCAAATTTGTCAGGTGAGAGGTGACTGTAGGAAAAGTATATAGATTACAGTTTTAGTCTTGAAGAACTGTCAAGACTGTGTCAAGGGGGACACAATTAATATTACAGACGACACATACCGTCAGACGATGTGGTGGTGCCGTCGATGGTCTCCAGGTAGTGCGCTTTGCAGAGCACTCTGTCGTCATGTAGTGCGAACTCCTCGCCCGTGCTGAGTTGTCGCTTGCACGCGTCGCACGCGAAGCACGCCAAGTGGTAGACATGGTCGCGTGCCTTCCGTACCCAGTCGTTGGCAGAGATGCTGCGGCAGCACTTGGAGCACTTGGCACCGAAACTTCTGAAACAGACAATACGTATAAGCTATATTTTAAGTTGATTCGATAAAAAATAGCACCATTAAAAAAAATTGTTTGGACAAAAACGTATAAGCTGGATAATGCTGGTAAAGTATCAAGTTTATGATTTAGACATTCCATTTTCATTTTAAAGTTGTAGCAATGACTGACCAACATAGACTTCTCATCCCATTGTAAATTTTGAAGCTCGTTTTTCGTGTCTAGTTCATGTTCGGCGACACTTGTGGCTAGTATCGATGACATTTTCTTTCTATTATTTTAGGGTTAATTTCATGATTTGTGCTTTACTGTTTGGTTATATAACTAGGATCACTTGTTTATGATTAGATCGTTTTATTTGGTTAAACGGAGTTTTGGATTACTGAAACAACAAGGCACATTTTGTAACCCAGATACGTACTACCTCTACAGTGCACCTGGAAGAACTAACAATTTAACATTTGTTTCTAGTTATTGAACCAATTTTAAGACTATTTTGTTTTTGACCGAACAAAACTATCTAATTTCAGGATAAACACTTGTTTTCAGGCATCTATCTATATATTAATAGGCAAGCATGTTTCTTTTAAACCTTTTTTCTCAGCTCGTGTGCATCGTAGGAAAAATCTACGCATACTGTTAGAAAGCTATTTTCCTGTAGGTGTGCAGAATACCTTTATAAATTAAAATAGGCTAAAAAATAAGCACAAAAAATTAATTTGAAAACTACAAAAAATTAACATGGACCATATGGGTTGCCATGATGGTGACGAAATAACAACAAAATGTAAACAGAAAATAAAAACAAGTGGAAGAAATTTTAATCACATGTTTTATTTAAAAAGTGTGGGGAGAAAATAGAGAAGTCTGTACATCAATTATTTTTGGTCGAATTTCGACCACTGGACGACCACTAGTTATAATTAAACAGTGAAGCACAAATAGTGAAAATCACTCTAAAATAAAAGATCTACAGGTAGCATATAGGATGAAAAGTCTATTTGCACTGTTCTAAGTTGCTTCATCTACTATTATAAGGAAAGAAAAACGCACGCATTGTAAAATATACCTTATGAGCAATCTATTTAACTCGACATCTACACTCAAACCGACCATGAACCATACACATCACATCAGAATTTCAGATTTTACCTAGAACTATTCATGCGCTATTCATAATCGACGCTGCCTTACTTCCTGTAAGTTCTACTCCCTACATTTTCTAATCAGTCTGAATACTCCTGGAGTCTCTGTGATCTGCTCTTCGCCGCCTTGTGGAAGCCAGAAGCCTCGCCTCCGCGCGGACCCCCGCCGAGGAGCAGCTCCAAGTACAAGCCCGGAAGCCGAATTAACGTGTGAATAACGGCTAAATCGTGTCTCGGACACCTAATTAGGGCAAATCAGTATGCGAGAGTGGCTCTATCAGTTAGGCGGGCGGTGTAAACACGGACTAATGAGAAGCGGGCTGGCGTTGTGTGGGTCTCCTCGTCGCAGCAGACCTACGTACTCAGCGTCACCCAAAGTCTTACAAGAAACACTGGAATCTGAGCGTAAATAAAGCGTGTTTTCATGTACATACGTATAAGCTACGAGTGTGTTATGGGTGTAAAATCATTGCTTTAAAAAGTTCTGGAAGAATTTTCCACTCATTGTAAAATCTGAAGTTTTGATGTGTTTTTCAGATTGGTGGTGTATTTTGTGTTTTTAGTGGTGAATCACGTGATTAGTGTAATGTCACTTTGTTTTGGGTTTCGAGTAGTAATATTGATGAGGTAGTGATGATAAATACACTGGAACAGTACACATTCTGGTATTTTCACTATCTTTTGACGGCATGTTGTTAGATAGATCAACCACAACAATTAGATCAACCTCACTATTGGTTGAAATCACAAAGACCAATGGCATCTGAGTCCGGAATGGGTCTAAATAAGCAGCGACCTTCTTTTTGAAGGCGAGCACTATAACAATTTGGCTATCTAGATAGTTTGAGTGCACCGATGTTGATAACACTTTTCTCTCTTATTCAAGAATATATTGTATGATCTGTGCTGTGCATTTGGCTATAATAAAGAAGACAAGTAAAAGTTTAATATGCGTAAAAGTAGTGTTACTAAATAATAACAAGAAACCAATCTTAAACAACAATAAAAACCAGACATAAACCAGACAAAACATTATTCATTGGTATGTCACCAGATTTGGTCTAAAGAATGTCATGTTATCAGCATCTATCATGATGGGGTCCTTACACCAGCTATCACACCTATGTTACCAGTCACAATCTTACATCCTATGCTGTGATTGCATCAGCATCCATCCTCTATGTTACCAGCAAAATGTAACCATGTGTATACTTCTGATATCCAGCGGTATTCTTTCACAAACTTTCCGAACGATGGTATATTATCAGTTACTGCCATGAGGGTGGTTTATTTCAATTAGGACCCAGCTGTATGTTTCCAGTCTTTTCGCCTAACAATGGAAAATGGTGTAGTGTATACCAACTACTGTCTCACTGCCCTGACGATGGTATATATACCAACTACAGTCTCACTACCCTGACGATGGTACATACCAACTACGAACTACAGTCTCACTGCCCTGACGATGGTACATACCAACTACAGTCTCACTGTCCTGACGATGGTATATAACAACTACTGTCTCACTGCTATGACGATGGTATATACCAACTAGAGTCACAGTCTCACTACCCTGTCGATGGTATATACCAACTACAGTCTTACTGCCCTGACGATGGTACATACCAACTACAGTCTCACTGCCCTGACGATGGTACATACACACTACAGTCTCACTGCCCTGACGATGGTCTACCAACTACAGTCTCACTGCCCTGACGATGGTATATACCAACTACAGTCTCACTGCCCTGACGATGGTACATACACACTACAGTCTCACTGCCCTGACGATGGTCTACCAACTACAGTCTCACTGCCCTGACGATGGTATATACCAACTACAGTCTCACTACCCTTACGATGGTATATACCAACTACAGTCTCACTACCCTGAGGATAGTACTATATACCAACTACAGTCTCACTGCCCCGACTATGGTATATACCAACTACTGTCTCACTACCCTGACGATGGTATATACCAACTACTGTCTCACTACCCTGACGATGGTATATACCAACTCCTGTCTCACTACTGCCCTGACTATGGTATATACCAACTACTGTCTCATTGCCCTGACGATGGTGTATAACTTCATTACCCTGACGATGGTACATTCCCAGATCCCAGCATTCCCAGCTACCGTCCCGAAGGAGTGACGCGGCCGCCAGCGATGAGTCGAGTAAATCAGCAATATAGAGCAGCCGATATATAACCGTAGAACACGACAGTGCCGTTGTCCGCGATACCACAGCCCTATAAATATCTCGGTAGCATATTCAAATGGCCGGGCTACACGATTAGACCATTAGGTGTGGGCTACATCTGACCAATTACCTACCCAATTAAATCGACCGCTTGGTGGTCTACATCTGATATATACATTGTACTCGCCGCTATTTATTTTTCCAGGGTTGGTGGCCTGCTGCCGGCGACGATAACTCGCTCGGCCGCCGTATTTATAATATAGTTTATACGTCCGTTCCGCAGCTACTGGTATTTATTATTGCCTCCGCTTGTCTTACGCTAACTAGTCGATATCATTTCGAATGTTATTGCCGTCCGCATAAATACAAGCGGTATAAATAATTTGTTAACTATTCGATTGATTTCTGTTACGACGACTGTTGTTTGTTTACGATATGAGAGGGCGGAGCTGGTAGATAAAAGTGGAGTGAAGTTTATGTAGTGGTTTAGACGAATGGTGAGTTTAAAAATAAAGATATGTAGTTTTATTTAAGGGATTAGTGATTTTTCCATTGCAGTTTGTAAAAAAGGTTTGCACAAAGTTAAAAGCATGTGAGGACAAATCTACAGTATTTTATTCAAAGACGATTGTGGAAATAGGCCCATTTTAAAAATTAGGTAATTTTACAATACTTTTTGTTTGGCCAATAAAGCAACCAGTAATTTATGATTCGAGTAGTTAGAAATTTACCATCCTTTTTGGAACATTAAAAGTTGATTTCCGACCGACCTCAGATTAAGTACGGTAAATAAGATTTACAAAACACATTTTTTACCTCAGTAGGATTTCCAACCTTGGTAATTTTTACCGTATTCGAATTTAATCTACAATCTACCTCAGTTCAAACGAAATAGTCGTTATTTGCCACAGAAGATTTATTCAAACATTTATTTTCTCGTGCTTGCTCACCTCGAGGCAACAAAATGATTAAATAACAAAAAATAATAAAAATAGTCGTGCAAAAAGGGAACTTTATTTACCAAAATGAAAAAGGTATGTTCATTTTACAATATCTTTTGTTCATTAGGTAAAGCAACTAGTAATTTATGTATCGAAATAAAAATGTAACATTTTATTTGGCATATTGAAACTTAATTTACGATTTTCCACAGTTTAACCACTACCTATCAAAATAAACGGTAACAGCAAGATGGTATGTAAACATTATTTCATTAGCTTGTTGAAAGCCTTTATAATGGGTAAGAGGTGGAAGTGACTATGATATTTTATTGATAAAATCACAAAAATTGCTATAACTTGTGAACCTTGAAAGCAATTTCTTTAAATTTTAAATTACCATAACATAGTAAGTTTTAATCAAAAACGTTCGAACTGCTTTTGTAAGAATCCTATTAGTTTCGTTACTTGATGGAGAAATCACAATTATAATCAAAAATTTTAAAAATGAAATAAATTCCTGGAGGTATTATGAATTAGTACTCACTTATAAAATTTCATGATAATAGGACTACAGTTGTAGTCTGTAGCTCTGTACCCACCAACACACACAACACTTCAAAAACCAAATTTTTAGGGACCCAAGTCGGATATTTCTACCCAAAACTCAAACTCAAAAATGTTTACGAAATATTCTATCAATAGGGG